GTGTGCCTTGCGCAAAATTCAAAAGAAACAAACCTACGATTTTAGTTTGCACTGATAAATTTCAGTTTGCGTTTATTCTATGTGAAATTGTTGTGTAACGTGATAAGAAGCGTAACATCGACATCAAAATATTCGAGTTCAACAACACCCGAACATCTTTGCTCTAAAATCGCGGTAACGGGACGCGAACATTGGATCCACAGTCTGACATGCTAACTACCGGGACAAGCTTGGCCAATATCGGGTGATACTTAGAAGGAAAAAAATAAGTAACATGGTTGGAAAAATTGCAAATGTGCTAATCTTCAAGTGATGTTTTTTTTTCCTCCAGAGAGAAATAGAAGAAAAAAAGATTAACGCGATTCCCGTTTGGAAGCGCCATCTATTAGAGAAAGTTGGAATGAAATCATCGGAAACTCCTGTAACGTAAGTGCATATCATTGGAAAATTCTTCGGTAAAAACCTCGCAGTTTTGGTTAAGTTAGAAAATTAAAAAATAAAATAAAACATACGTATCACCAAGGTGATTTATTTACTCAATGACGTTTTAAGTTTCCGTTGGTAAGAATTACTGGAATGTTCTAAAGAAATCCGAGCCAAACCTGTAAATAATGGTTCGTGTTTTCTAGGCTATAAATTCCTAAACGCGCCCATAAAAATACTAATAATTTTAGTCGCCAACATTCATTTTATACTTCATCTTTAAACCTTACAGTTTATTTGGAGCTAAACAAAGTCAACTTAGAGTAATCACATTTTCGAAACACTATCGCGTGTTTCTACGTCTGCTTTTTTGATTATTATTTTAAACTTACCTAAATCATTTATCTCTGGAATTGTTGATAAAAACTACGATCTTGATTTCACTGAATATTCTATTTTTAGAGTGTATGTGTATTTTTTTTAGATAGTTTAACATTTCATCAAAATAGTGGAAAGTTTTAGTAAACTTCTACAAAGTCCTCAGTGTGACTTCTAAGTGATAAATTTTATATTATAATTTGCTTCTATCTACAAAGGTTATATATATATGTGTGTGTGTGTATGCCTTAGAAATAAAAGGTTTAAATAACTTTCATATCGTCTAAGTATGCACACGTGACAATTCTGAAGACTTTCAAGCCTGAGTTATAGTTTTCAAAGTAAATTTGATTTTAAAAATACTCCTTGTAAAACAATCCTTGAACGTGTAATGATATGCCACTTTTTTTTTTATCAGTTCACCTTCTAAGCCTACGTCAAGTAGCCTTGTGGTCACGGGGAACACTGATGCAAGTTCCGACAGACAACTTGGCGAGAAAGTATCACAAGACACAACAACATTTGTAACTACGGGCAATGACGAAGACGACAAACAGGAAAATCCCTGGCTGCAACAGTTAAGAAAAACTAAAACAGGATACCGTTAAGAAGCTTGTGTCAGTGGAGATAAAACATAACTTAAAGATTCTGTGATAATTAATGTACATGATTCCGCCTTCAGTTTGTACACTAATCAATGTGAATGTATACACTGAACGTTTGTCACTCTCGTTCTGGGAGTTTTTACTGTATGTTAGAAACGTATGTTGTTTTTATGGATTTAGCAATGATAAATATGAAGAAAGAAAACATATTTTATTTCGCAGGAAACCTTGAGTTGGTTTTAATACCATGCAAAATTGAGTCTAGCGTGACCCTCCGGTCAGCGTGCCGGACTATGGATCTACATGTCCATCGTTCATGTCCTGTTACCGCCAAAAACAAAAAGCGTTCCTCACTTTAGGTCCATGGGTGCCTTAAAAGGGTGACTGTCAAATTCCACTACGTGATTAGACAAGAGCAGTCCAAGATTTGGCGGTGGGCGCTGTTGCCTAGTTGCCTTCCCTCTAGTCTATCAGGTCAAAATTAGGGACGGCTAGCCAAGCTAGTCCTTGAGTAGCGTTGCGCGAATATCCGAAAACAAACAAACTATGCAAAATTAATAAAATTTATATTAGCGCTGCACAGTACATCCAAATGTGCAACATATATAGAAGGAAATATTAGATAGTGTAATGTAACACATTACAACCGATGTTAAAAAGCATATAATTCTAGATAGTGTAATGTAACACATTACAACCGATGTTAAAAAGCATATAATTCTAGATAGTGTAATGTAACACATTACAACCGATGTTAAAAAGCATATAATTCTAGATAGTGTAATGTAACACATTACAACCGATGTTAAAAAGCATGTAATTCTAGATAGTGTAATGTAACACATTACAACCGATGTTAAAAGGCATATAATTCTAGATAGTGTAATGTAACACATTACAACCTATGTTAAAAAGCATGTAATTCTTTCTTTTTTTCCCTCTTTTCTTACTGATATATCAAAACTCTTCATGTGAACAAGGAGTTTTCTGTCTGTATTTGAGAATTTGGTAACTTATTTGGATTGCAAAAGAAGTTAGTTCCAACTATGTTTATATTTAAAAATCCTATTTCTAGGGTTGTCACGATAACTGGTAACCGGTTACAGTTCGATTCGAAGCCCTAAGTGGCTCCTAACAGCTGCTCGAGGGCCCGACATGGCAAGGTGGTTAGGGCGCTCGATTCGCAACTTGAAGGTCGCGGGTTCGAATCCCCGTCCTACCAAACGTGCTCGCCCTTTCAGCCGTGGGGGCGTTATAATGTTACGGTCAATCCCACTATGCGTGGGTAAAAGAGTAGCCCAAGAATTGGCGGTGAGCGATGATGACTAACTGCCTTCCCTCTAGTCTTACACTGCTAAATTAGGGATGGCTAGCGCAGATAGCCCTCGTGTAGCTTTGCGCGAAATTCAAAAACAAACAAACAAACAAACAGCTGCTCGATACTGTTGTTTCTTGTTTTAATTTACACCTAGATTTATTTATACGGCTGCACGTGTCATACTACATTAAGAGATACGAAAGTTTAGAACTTTCGATGGCTGAAGATTTACTTCCTGTCTGGGGAAGGTAATCTTATTTTATCAGAATTATTTCGTGTATTTTGTTCCGAAGCAGAGGACTGATTTTTTTATCAGAATTATTTCGTGTATTTTGTTCCGAAGCAGAGGACTGATTTTTTTATCAGAATTATTTCGTGTATTTTGTTCCGAAGCAGAGGACTGATTTAATAATCAATTCGCCTTGTAATGCACGAGTTAGTAATCAAAATTCAACACCAGGGAAAGTATGGGTTTAATCCTGTGATCTGTGTCACAACGTGACACAGGCAGTTTTTAAACTTCATATTAATCCGTATTCTAGCCCTCCAGTGGCACAGCGGTATGTCTGCGGACTTACAACGCTAGAAACCGGGTTTCGATACCAGTGGTGGGCAGAGCACAGATAGCCCATTGTGTAGCTTTGTGCTTAACTACAAACAACAACCGTATTCTGACTTGTAAAATTGATAAACATTACAATTCACCAGCTTAATGTAATTCACACTATAACAATTGTTTTTTATGCGACTTGATAATATAAATTGCTTTTCAACTACTTGTGTGTCTGTCCTATCCCAGCTAGTCTGGTGAGTTCTGGTATTGAGCGAAAGGCTTCATCGGCACTGGATATATAGCGGTTATAATGTGGTTGACTTAATA